GTGCGCGCACAATGTCGGGCCCCTGATGGGATTCGAACCCACGTCCTTACGGTTGCGAGACCCGAAACGATCAGAACGGTCACCTATTGACATAATCTGTATGAGTCACTCATCCCCCCCTCTCCCTCCCCCGGCCTGTCGGCTGACCTCACACTCAGAGCCACAGATGACCTTTACTTCTCATCAGGTAACAGCGTCACAGCAACAAGTAACGCTTGTAACGCGAAACCGTCACGGCTTGTAACGTGTCACTCAGCTGTCATGTCTCCAGCAGTCAGCAGCACAGCGCGTGTCACTCAAAACTATCCAGGGTACTAGCAACCAACAATTAACCTAAGAATGAGAGAAAAAAAGAAGAAAAGAAAATGAAAAGAAATACTACGTTTATATATAAGTATAAGACATAAGGGTCTGGAACATCTAGCTGTCACTGGCAACATTGAGGGCAAACGAGGCAGGGGTAGGCTCAGAGCAACCTACTTAGGGAACCTAAACAAATGGGTAACAGGGAAAGATCAGGGAAAAGTTGCTTTTTTGAGAGCGTCCGAGCAAAGGAATGAATGGAGAATCATGATCGCCGATGTCTGTCGCAGATCTGGCACTGGATGATGATGATGATGATGATGATGATGATGATGATTAGTATTATATAACTGGGTGATACGTCTTTAGCGTACAACAGCGAAGAGCGCTTCTCTTTACTCAAATAGACAAATACACAAACATACAAACAAACAGACAAATAAACACAAACAAGTAAACAGACAAATAAACAAAAACAAACAAACAAGCAAACAAACAAACCTACAAACAAACAAACTAGTTTTACTCTTCTTAGTCCTTAACGGACACATATTTCCAATCAGCAGACCAAAGGATGTGTCGCAGCATATTTTGCACCGTGTAAGTTAATGCTTTTTCGAATGCAGTTTTTTGAGTATCTTGATAACCGCTCCGAATAACCGTACGATTTTGATAGAGCAGATAGAACATTTGGTTTCTGACCTCATGGTCTTAGTAACTCAAAAACGGCCCAAAAATGTCAGATAGAACTTTGTAATACCAAAAATAGTTTTGCCTACGGTAGGGCATAGTATCTTTGGTAATACCAGAGAGTTTACTGAGGTAGTGACCTGTGTGTTGCTGTGGACCTCTCGCCGAGCAGTGGTTGGTTGGTTGGTGTAGTGTGCCCTCGACAAAGCTCAGGAAGTTTGGGGCAGTGGAAGACGGGAGATCACATGCCGCATGCCCAGCTTAGTTGTTGTGTGTGGGGGGTCGTTTTTCTGTGTGTGGGGTCGTTTTTGTGTGAGTGTGGGGGT